TTGCTATTGCTATTGCTATTGCTGAACAAAACAAAATAAATTATTGGTCATTGTTAATTTTAATTCGAATATTTTTTTTAAATGTTATTGTCATTTCTAATTGGGTTTGTTTGGGATATTCTATTTAATTATTTTTTTTAACTTTTGTATTATGTGTTTCTTTTAATGTTGTACGCCGCCCTGAGTCCTTGGGAGAAGGGCGGCATATAAATCTAATAAACCAAACCAAACCATATACCAAGAAAGCTGTCCCACTAACCTTTTTGTCAACACCTGTTTCAGCTACTTGGTCTTTAGGAAGCCCCAAGTCTTCCTGTTCCTTACAACTTGAGTCTGAATTGTCAGAGCTGTCATCCTCATCCTCATCATTAGAATCTGCCTCATCGTTATTATTTTCAAGGAGTGCAGGCACCTACAACGAACCAAAAGTTTCATTTTTTTCCTTCAATCATTGACAGTCAGAAATCAGAAATTCTTTCGATACGTGAAGTTCAGCCTTCACAACGTTCTCCGAGAGCTGAATATTACTGGAAGCCGACGTCCAAGACATACAAAGAATTCCAAAAGATTGCTTAAAGTTGGATTTTAAGAATGCAAGGACAGCCAAAGGAGAAACTATATGTTTGAACCATTTAACAGAGCTAACAAAAATCTTCTATAAACTCAAACTGCCCAATATTTTATCAGTATTATTGATGTAAAGACGAGATATTTTGGCAACAAAAGAGCTTTAAGCTCTTGTTCTAACTGTAGAAACATGGAGCAACAGAATCATAATCAAAAAAGTTGGAAACCAGGAGGAAGATCCAATGTGCAGCTTTCAATTAGAGTTTTTGTTACATCTGTAGGCAGGTGACCAGCAAGGATATTCCAAAATCAGTTAAAGAATTAAAAATAACTAGCCATAAGTCTAGATTTATAAACACTGATATTATATTTGCATATCGTTTTAAGTCACACTAAGGTTGGGCTTAGCATGATCCTGAATCTAAACTCTAGTTAGGAGAGATTTAACCGTAATCTGAATAAAGGTAATCCTCGCTTTACATGTTTCTTTACTTTCTGACTGTTCAAAGTTAAACGGCACTGAAAAAAGTGACTTATCACCATTTTTCTATTTCATATTTTCATATTTACAACCACTGTAATATCCCCGGGGTCACATGATCAAAACTGAGATGCCTGGCAACTGACTCATATTTATGATGGTTGATTACATGTCCCGGGGTCATATAATCTCCCGTGACCCAACAAATGCGCGCACGACAAAAGCGCGCTGACAAAAACGCGCCCACAAAAGCGCGATTTCAGTTAAGGTAAGGGTTAGGTTCAGGGTTAGGTTTAGCGTTCGATTTCAGTTAAGGTAAGGGTTAGGTTTAGAACTCGTGTTTATTACTTGTTTGTTGAAGGTGTGCTTCTGTCGGCACGCTGTTGTCGGCGCGCTTCTTCGCTCATTCGTCAGCGCGATTTAGAACTCGCGGTTTTCTCGCCGCGGTTTCGTCGGCGCGCTTTTGTCCAACGCGCATTTGTCGGTGAACCATAATCTCCTGGGGTCAACAGGGAAGCCAGACTCGCACAACAATCCTGTTCCTAACTTAACCACTGCACTGAATCACTTAACAACTGTGGCAAGAAAGGTCGCAAACTGGGGCAAAAAATATAATAAATGTTTCACTTAGCAACAGAGATTTTGGGCCCAATTGTGATTATAAATCAAGGACTCCCTTTATTGCTGAAGAACACAGTCCTGGAATAGTACCCTCTTACCTTTTGAATCCCAGATAAATCCTTCTTTAATCCTGTCACTGTCTGGTACAGAATCTGTGCAAAAACAAAGCACGACAGCAAAACAATCGGAATGTGGATTTTTCAAATCTTTGGTCAACGATCATAATAAAGATCTGACTTACACTATACTACATTCTAGTGAAAGAGAAAGCACCAATTACTTCACCGAAAGTTATTTGTTGTTGTTACCATTCAACATGCTTCTGGAGCTATAGGCATTACATTCTGAGTTTCTGTCCAAATCCCCCCCCCCCCCCAGGGGTGGGTTTCTCACCCCGTTCCAACCGGTTCAGTTGGAACGGGGCCGGCGGCGTCCTCATGCACGCGCGCAGTGTATGCATGCGTACTAGCGCCTGTGCGATGCTCCAGCTGCTCCTGGAGGATCGCGCAGGCGCTGTATGCGTTCTGCACATGCGTGGAAGCACAGAACTCATCAAAACCGGGTAAGAAACGCGGGCGGGTGGGTNTAAAATTTTTGTTAATTAATCCTTATTTTGAATATGTTATAAAGGTGTAATGTCATTGGATATATGAAAGTTGATAACAAAAAATTAACTAAATCTTATAATTGGTAAGTAATAATTTAGTAACTTTTAGATTGTTATGTTAAATAAACAATTGATAATGGCAATAAGTTACACATATGTGTTGGCTTGATGAGAAGAAAATGGATATAACAATTAATAATGGAATGATAATGATAAGGGATACAGTTAATGATATATATGATGTTTTATACATACATACATACATACATACATACATACATACATACATACATACATACATACATACATATTTTAGGCAAAAGGACACTAAAGCAACTTCAGTCAAATGAGAACTATGCTATGTTGATAGTAAGATTTATAAGAATCATTGACATCTGATATGAATATAAGTAATGACTGTGGAAGAGATGCATGAAAGCTAATTATAACCAATTGACACACTTTCTACAAGATGCAATGTAAAATGATGATTTTTTTTGTGTTGTTTAATAAAAATAAAAGTTTCTCACAAAAAAGTGATTTCCAAATGGAAACAAAGCTAGAAAAGTTTTGTTTTTTGTCAGTATTGCTTTCTCAGCCATTTCCATTAATTTCACCATCCATTTTTCACTTGTAGAAATTTGCATATTTTTCCACCTCTTTGCATGTAGAGGTCTTGTTGCTATTATCATATATGACAAAATCCCATGTTTCTTTTCAACCTATGTATCCACAATATTTAAAAGAAAATCTTAGGGTTTTATTTGCACATCATTTTTAATATCATCATGAAACAAAGTACAGATTTCCTAGCGTTCTTACAACTCTACCAAAGGTGATAAAAGATACTTTCACATTGACACATTCACATTGTATTTTCAGCTCTTTTTTGATATTTCCTTATACATCTTTAATACTTTTTCAAGTGTTAAATACCAATAATACATCATTTTATAAAATTTTCTTTCAAATTGTAAGTCATCATAAACTTTAGTCCTTTACTTCAAAAGTTTTCTCATTGATCAAGCATAATATTATATCTTAATTGTTTTGCAATTGTTAATTATCCTCCTTATTCATTTTCAACAGTAATTTATGAAAGATCGACAGTTAATAAATGCACAGCCCACTAAAAAACATTAGACACCTTCCTAGAAAACTGATATTATATTTTTAAAAAACTGCAACCCAATAGAAAGTTCTCCTGCACATGTCTTATTGAGCTTTATGAAACAGTGTACAATAAGAGCAATGCCCTGCTTTGTGCATCTCTACTTCTTTTATACGAGGAATTGGTGGTTCCATCTGGTCAAGATATTTTTTTTTATGAATTGAGGAGTTTGTCTTATTATGGATCAATCCTAAGTGATTAGCATCATCCAATAACATTAATTCATTATAAGAAGAATCTCACACACAGAGGAGAAAAAAGTGACAAGGATGGGAATTTTTAGAATTGGACATGTTAATCTTTGCAGCAGCTCTGGTAATTTATCATTAAACGCCTAGCTTCTTTGTTTTCAGAATAAACCACAAAATGGTAAAAGCAGCAACATCTAGCAGAGGCAAGAATGAAAATTTGGAAATTCTATCAGCTTTCTTTTCCTAGTGCATAAATAATACAGAACACCATAGCATAGCATAGCATAGCATAGCATAGCATAGCATAGCATAGCATAGCATAGCATAGCACAGCTTAGAAACTATTAGCATTTAAGTAAATGATCCCAGTCTATCTTCTTTGTCATGTATCATGGTTAATAAATACCAGTGCAACATTGGGTGGTTAATTTTTAGGTAATTGTTCTTGTTAGATAGGCAAGAAGCAGCAGGTGAGAGGCGCGAGTGAGTTTCAGCACTTTTTATTGCAAGAGTAAGTGACTGTGCTCTGCCGGCTGGGCTGCCGGTGCTCACCTTTTAAGGAGCTCTGGCAGACCAGCTGGCCAATGACAGTTGTTTAAACTTCCCAGGTTTGGGCAACAAATCCTCGGTGAGCATGTGAAAACATGTAAATTAAGGAGTTCTGGCAGACCAGCTGGCCAATGACAGTTGTTTAAACCTCCCGGAGTTAGGACAATCAATCCCCGGTGAGCATGTGAAATCATGTAAATTTAATAACATACGTCCATATGTAACACCCCTCTCCTCCTAGAATGAACAAGGTCCAATCCCCAGCCTACGTAGGTGACATAGTCTTTCAGGTAGGCGGGGTGCGCCGGTCTCTTACTTGATCTGTGCAGATCACTTGTCCCTGGGAGTTCAGCCTGTGCGGTCGAGCCTGCTGTTCCTGTGGCCGCCTGGGAAGAAACCTTCTGGAGCTCCTCAGCCTGCAAGTTGAGCTCTGGCCTGGTTTCTTTGGCTCCTGAAATGCCATTTCTTCGTGGGATGGCTTCAGACGCAGCTACATGTTTGTGGCTCAGGTTGGACAGTTGTCCCGCAATCTCTTGACTTGGTGGGGCTAGTTCCCGCCAGTCTGCTTTCTGGCTGGTGGTTGAGCATGCTTTGTGTGGTGGAGACCTGGGGTTCTCTGGAAGTTGTTCTGAGCTGGTGGGTGTGGTCCAATCGCCCTGGTTCCTCAGTTCAGCGTCCCCCAGGTGGTGTCGGAGCTGGTTGATGTGACTCCTCCAGATTCGTCCATCCTGTAGCCCCACTCGGTACAAATTCGGCCTGGTGACGGCCACAATTTGGCCCGCCAGCCAAGTCAGGACCCAGCGTAGTTGTGGGCAAATACCTGGTCATTTATGTTGAACTCCTGGGTTGGTCGAGCGGAATCCAGGGGGTTCTCTGGAAGGTAGTCCGGGTGGTACCGGTCAAGTCTGGACCCAAATCTTCTCCCCATCAACAGCTCTGCTGAACTCTTGTTGGTGGTCGCATGGGGGTGATGTGTTGGGTGAAAAGGAATTGGTCAACCTTTTCCTGCCAGCTTCCTGGTCCCATTCAGGTGAGGGTTCCTTTTTGAGTCTCACCATTCGCTCGGCCTGTCCATTGCTCGCCAGATTGAATGGGGTGATGAGAACATGCCGGATCCCTTGCTCTTTGAGAAATGCCTCCACCATCTTGGCAGTCAGCTATGGGCCATTGTTGGAGACCAGGGTGTCAGGTAGGTTGTGGGTTGCAAAAAGTTTCTAGAGAGCTCCGATGGTGGCCTCTGCCATGGTTGATTGCATGATAATGATCTCGAGCCATTTGGAGTAAGCATCCACCACGATCAGGAATGTCTGCCTTTCCATTGGTGAGCATGTGAAAACATGTAAATTAAGGAGCTCCGGCAGACCATCTGGCCAGTGACAGTTGTTTAAACTTCCCGGGGTTTGGGCAACTAATCCCCAGTGAGCATGTGAAAACATGTAAATTAAGGAGTTTCGGCAGACCAACCGGCCAGTGACAGTTGTTTAAACTTCCCGGAGTTTGGACAACCAATCCCCGGTGAGCATGTGAAAACATGTAAATTTAACAACGTACATCCGTACATAACAGTCCAGATACTGAAAGCCAGCTGAAATGGAAGAATCAAAAATCAATGGCCACTTAAAGAGGTAATAGGGAACATTGAATACAACCTGTTCTAATGTCTATTTGATTACGGAGCTATTGAAAAAGTCTGTGAATACTGAAACAAAATGATATGAAAATTAGAGAGTCATTTCTATGTGAAACAGCTACAGAGGAACCATTTTATTTGCCTAGATAACTTACTAGCTCTGGGAAAGCTTGAAAATGTATGATGCACACCATAAAAATGGATTTATGAAATTATAGTTGTATTCTAATTATTCATTTTAGGAAGTGATTTGGATGAAGTGGTAAATGATCCTAAACCTCTCTGTCTCAATAAGAAAAACCCTTCAGCAACTGATCTGTTGAAGGCTGTTAGTCACTAGTGCAGGAATAGTCACTTTTCTAAATGCTGGATAAGAATGAGTTCAATAAAAAAAGAGATAATGACAGGTTTATAAAAGTAACATTCCTTATATAATGGATTTTCCATTCCAATGTTTCTTCACTGTAATATTTTAAAATTATGCAAAAAATTATTATTTAAGTCATAGTAGGGAATTCATTAGAAGATTAATAGTTCTGGTTTACCAATTCGCTTACCAAGTCACTTAATTATTTAGTTCATTAATTCTGTAAATGTCAAGCTTGCCATGAACTCTGGTAATTTGCATAAGTAAGGTAATAGTTCCACCAGCAATCATAGTCACACAGGAATTTGGTGTGACTAATATTCCAAATAAGAAGAAAAATTTGTGTTATATGTGTGTATATACTTTATCAATAAGGAACTCCATAATGAAAGAAATGGAATTTTCTTCTCAGTCTTTCCTGCTTCAAAAAAGAACTAAGAGCAAAGGGAAAAATGCACAAATAAAAGGTGATAATAAGTAGGATTCTAGATTTTAGGGATCAAAGCAATCCAGGTATAGGAAATGATAAAGAATGATCCCTTAGGCAAATCAGTAATTTTAGATTTCATAATTAATGACTAAATCTTTTGTTGCTCTTGTATGAATGTCATTACTTGCTCCAAACTGTATACAGTAGTTTTGCTAAATGGGACCTT